TCAGACGGAGGACCTGCGCCTAGACACGACCACAACACATGATGTAGTCAGCCGGATCCGGGCCGTATCCAGATCAGATGATGGACCTGCGCCTAGACACGACCACAACACATGATGCAGTCAGCCGGATCCGGGCCGTATCCAGATCAGATGGAGGACCTGCGCCTAGACACGACCACAACACATGATGTAGTCAGCCGGATCCGGGCCGTATCCAGATCAGATGGAGGACCTGCACCTAGACACGACCACAACACATGATGCAGTCAGCCGGATCCGGGCCGTATCCAGATCAGATGGAGGACCTGCGCCTAGACACGACCACAACGCATGATGGGGTCAGCCGGATCCGGGCCGTATCCAGATCAGATGGAGGACCTGCGCCTAGACACGACCACAACACATGATGTAGTCAGCCGGATCCGGGCCGTATCCAGATCAGATGGAGGACCTGCGCCTAGACACGACCACAACGCATGATGGAGTCAGCCGGATCCGGGCCGTATCCAGATCAGATGGAGGACCTGCGCCTAGACACGACCACAACACATGATGTAGTCAGCCGGATCCGGGCCGTATCCAGATCAGATGGAGGACCTGCGCCTAGACACGACCACAACGCATGATGGAGTCAGCCGGATCCGGGCCGTATCCAGATCAGATGGAGGACCTGCGCCTAGACACGACCACAACACATGATGTAGTCAGCCGGATCCGGGCCGTATCCAGATCAGATGGAGGACCTGCACCTAGACACGACCACAACACATGATGCAGTCAGCCGGATCCGGGCCGTATCCAGATCAGATGGAGGACCTGCGCCTAGACACGACCACAACACATGATGTAGTCAGCCGGATCCGGGCCGTATCCAGATCAGATGGAGGACCTGCACCTAGACACGACCACAACACATGATGTAGACAGTCGGATCCGGGCCGTATCCAGATCAGATGGAGGACCTGCGCCTAGACACGACCACAACACATGATGCAGACAGTCGGATCCGGGCCGTATTCAGATCAGACGGAGGACCTGCACCTAGACACGACCACAACACATGATGTAGTCAGCCGGATCCGGGCCGTATCCAGATCAGATGGAGGACCTGCGCCTAGACACGACCACAACACATGATGCAGTCAGCCGGATCCGGGCCGTATCCAGATCAGATGGAGGACCTGCGCCTAGACACGACCACAACACATGATGTAGTCAGCCGGATCCGGGCCGTATCCAGATCAGATGGAGGACCTGCACCTAGACACGACCACAACACATGATGCAGTCAGCCGGATCCGGGCCGTATCCAGATCAGATGGAGGACCTGCGCCTAGACACGACCACAACGCATGATGGGGTCAGCCGGATCCGGGCCGTATCCAGATCAGATGGAGGACCTGCGCCTAGACACGACCACAACACATGATGTAGTCAGCCGGATCCGGGCCGTATCCAGATCAGATGATGGACCTGCGCCTAGACACGACCACAACACATGATGTAGTCAGCCGGATCCGGGCCGTTTCCAGATCAGATGGAGGACCTGCGCCTAGACACGACCACAACACATGATGTAGTCAGCCGGATCCGGCCCGTATCCAGATCAGATGATGGACCTGGGCCTTGACATGACCACAACACATGATGTAGTCAGCCGGATCCGGGCCGTATCCAGATCAGATGGAGGACCTGCGCCTAGACACGACCACAACACATGATGTAGTCAGCCGGATCCGTGCCGTATCCAGATCAGATGGAGGACCTGCGCCTAGACACGACCACAACACATGATGTAGTCAGCCGGATCCGTGCCGTATCCAGATCAGATGATGGACCTGCACCTAGACATGACCACAACACATGATGTAGTCAGCCGGATCCGGGCCGTATCCAGATCAGATGGAGGACCTGCACCTAGACACGACCACAACACATGATGCAGTCAGCCGGATCCGGGCCGTATCCAGATCAGATGGAGGACCTGCGCCTAGACACGACCACAACGCATGATGGGGTCAGCCGGATCCGGGCCGTATCCAGATCAGATGGAGGACCTGCGCCTAGACACGACCACAACACATGATGTAGTCAGCCGGATCCGGGCCGTATCCAGATCAGATGATGGACCTGCGCCTAGACACGACCACAACACATGATGTAGTCAGCCGGATCCGGGCCGTTTCCAGATCAGATGGAGGACCTGCGCCTAGACACGACCACAACACATGATGTAGTCAGCCGGATCCGGCCCGTATCCAGATCAGATGATGGACCTGGGCCTTGACATGACCACAACACATGATGTAGTCAGCCGGATCCGGGCCGTATCCAGATCAGATGGAGGACCTGCGCCTAGACACGACCACAACACATGATGTAGTCAGCCGGATCCGGGCCGTATCCAGATCAGATGGAGGACCTGCGCCTAGACACGACCACAACACATGATGTAGTCAGCCGGATCCGTGCCGTATCCAGATCAGATGGAGGACCTGCGCCTAGACACGACCACAACACATGATGTAGTCAGCCGGATCCGTGCCGTATCCAGATCAGATGATGGACCTGCACCTAGACATGACCACAACACATGATGTAGTCAGCCGGATCCGGGCCGTATCCAGATCAGATGATGGACCTGCACCTAGACATGACCACAACACATGATGCAGTCAGCCGGATCCGTGCCGTATCCAGATCAGATGGAGGACCTGCGCCTAGACACGACCACAACACATGATGTAGTCAGCCGGATCCGTGCCGTATCCAGATCAGATGATGGACCTGCACCTAGACATGACCACAACACATGATGCAGTCAGCCGGATCCGTGCCGTATCCAGATCAGATGGAGGACCTGCGCCTAGACATGACCACAACACATGATGTAGTCAGCCGGATCCGTGCCGTATCCAGATCAGATGATGGACCTGCACCTAGACATGACCACAACACATGATGTAGTCAGCCGGATCCGGGCCGTATCCAGATCAGATGGAGGACCTGCGCCTAGACATGACCACAACACATGATGCAGTCAGCCGGATCCGGGCCGTATCCAGATCAGATGATGGACCTGGGCCTTGACACGACCACAACACATGATGTAGTCAGCCGGATCCGGGCCGTATCCAGATCAGATGGAGGACCTGCGCCTAGACACGACCACAACACATGATGTAGTCAGCCGGATCCGGGCCGTATCCAGATCAGATGGAGGACCTGCGCCTAGACACGACCACAACACATGATGTAGTCAGCCGGATCCGTGCCGTATCCAGATCAGATGGAGGACCTGCGCCTAGACACGACCACAACACATGATGTAGTCAGCCGGATCCGTGCCGTATCCAGATCAGATGGAGGACCTGCGCCTAGACACGACCACAACACATGATGTAGTCAGCCGGATCCGGGCCGTATCCAGATCAGATGGAGGACCTGCGCCTAGACACGACCACAACACATGATGTAGTCAGCCGGATCCGAGCCGTATCCAGATCAGATGGAGGACCTGGGCCTAGACACGACCACAACACATGATGTAGTCAGCCGGATCCGTGCCGTATCCAGATCAGATGGAGGACCTGCGCCTATACACGACAACAACACATGATGTAGTCAGCCGGATCCGTGCCGTATCCAGATCAGATGGAGGACCTGCGCCTAGACACGACCACAACACATGATGTAGTCAGCCGGATCCGTGCCGTATCCAGATCAGATGGAGGACCTGCGCCTAGACACGACCACAACACATGATGCAGTCAGCCGGATCCGGGCCGTATCCAGATCAGATGATGGACCTGGGCCTAGACACGACCACAACACATGATGTAGTCAGCCGGATCCGAGCCGTATCCAGATCAGATGGAGGACCTGCGCCTAGACACGACCACAACACATGATGGGGTCAGCCGGATCCGGGCCGTATCCAGATCAGATGGAGGACCTGGGCCTAGACACGACCACAACACATGATGTAGTCAGCCGGATCCGAGCCGTATCCAGATCAGATGGAGGACCTGGGTCTAGACACGACCACAACACATGATGTAGTCAGCCGGATCCGGGCCGTATCCAGATCAGATGGAGGACCTGGGTCTAGACACGACCACAACACATGATGTAGTCAGCCGGATCCGGCCCGTATCCAGATCAGATGGAGGACCTGGGTCTAGACACGACCACAACACATGATGGGGTCAGCCGGATCCGGGCCGTATCCAGATCAGATGGAGGACCTGGGCCTAGACACGACCACAACACATGATGTAGTCAGCCGGATCCGAGCCGTATCCAGATCAGATGGAGGACCTGGGTCTAGACACGACCACAACACATGATGTAGTCAGCCGGATCCGAGCCGTATCCAGATCAGATGGAGGACCTGCGCCTAGACATGACCACAACACATGATGTAGTCAGCCGGATCCGAGCCGTATCCAGATCAGATGATGGACCTGGGCCTTGACACGACCACAACACATGATGTAGTCAGCCGGATCCGGCCCGTATCCAGATCAGACGGAGGACCTGACCACAACACATGATTGTGTGATCTAGACTCTCTTCTGTGAACGCCTCATTGACTCGACAGCCATCGGCTTGGATCCTCAACAAACCCGCCTCTATAGCGACGTGACTCCGATCTTCAACCAGATGAACTGGATAATATTTTGACCCATATAGCTAAATAGCACACTTAACACTTTCATCTGGCCCACATACGGCGTGGAATGATGGCATTGGGCGGTCCACTCCTGTTTGCCATATTTGGGCCACAATTGAGCCATAGCAATATTTTGATCCAATCTGACCTCTGACCTGTAATGGTGCCTGAATCATAATCACACACTGTTCGGAGAGGAGAACTAAGTGACTGAGCCTGGGTTCTCCCAAGTTAGTTAGTTAGTTGGTTGGTTGGATAGTTAGTTGGATAATCAGTTAGTTATTTAGTTAATAGGTTAGTGTGTTAGTGAGTTAGTGAGTTAGTGAGTTAGTTAGTTAGGGTTACTCTTCATGTCTTGTGACTCTCTTCTTGGTGGAGGCTCATTGTGTCTATCCAAACGTAAAGCTCAGGATCGTTGATGAGACAGTGATCAAGATCTGTTGTTTTGACAGATTGATCTTTTCATCTCTTCATTATGAATGTTAGGACTTATGTAACACATTAGTGTAATGTCTTAGATTAGACAACTGAAATCTTCTTTAGTTTGAGATGGACAGATTTATTTTGTTAATGTTAATTAAATCAAAATGTTCAGTCTGTTTCTGTGGCGTCTGCAGCTACGGCGTCATGAAGACAGATCTCGAAACAAGCGAATCTGACGAGCTTGAGCAGAATAATCCGGTTTAGAGCTTTAGACCGTCCTGCGGCGAGCGAGGAGCCGAGGGGGGTTGTGGGTAATTGGATGTGACCAAACGGGACCTGACGTTTCAGAAAAACTGAAAATGTGTCATGCTTACTGTAACAGTGGTAAACAGCACGGTAGAGCCGGAAAGCTTTAAGGTTTGGTCTCGTTGATGAGAAAGTGTTCAAAATACTTCTGTTGTTGATTTATAAAATGTGTCTTCAGCTGGAGCTTCATGAACTTCTTCTTCTTCTTGTTTTAAAGGTGCAGACCATGAGCCCAATCTGAGACGGGAACGCGGTACACATGATCAATGACACTCGTTCACTTGCATCTGATTCGTCACACAGAATTACAGCAGAAGATTCTTCTTTATTTGGTACTATTATGTTTATTTAAACTCCAGAATTTCAATGTAGTCTCACGTTTTTTGTTTTTTATCCCTGTTGTGTTTGTGTTCTCTCTTTATATAATCATTTCATCTGATGGCATTTTATATATAGAAGGCTGTTAATGTGATTATGTGGGACTGAAGATCCAATCAGGAAGAGGTTTAGTGGGATTAGCGCTGACGTGAACACTTCTTAGCTTTTCTTCTTCCCATCAGAGCTGTGAGTTTCAGCGCTCCATTTGTTTTCTCATTTTACAGGAATAGACGCATAACAACCAAACTCTTTCTCAGTGTGTGTTTACATGAGATGAAGAGAGATGCAGTTTCATAGGTTGGACAGATGGGGGAGTCATGACACTTCATTTACATCTGTGTGTGTGTGTGTGTGTGAGAGAGAGAGAGAGAGAGAGAGAGAGTGTGTGTGTGTGTGTGTGTGTGTGAGAGAGAGAGAGAGAGAGAGAGAGAGAGAGAGAGTGTGTGTGTGTGTGTGTGTGTGTGTGTGTGTGTGTGAGAGAGAGAGACAGATCTGAGCTGAAAAACAGTTTCTTCTTGTTTCTGCTCTGATGAGTGGACCTACTGGTTGAAATGGTGTTATTAGTGGTTAAAGGGTTAGTTCACCCAAAAATGAAAATTCTGTCAGTATTTACTCGCCCTCATGTTGTTCAAGATTGAGATCTGTTTGATTAAAACATTCTTCCAAATATCTTCCTTTGTGTTCAGCAGAACAAATAAACACACAGAGGTTTGGAACAACATGAGGGCGAGTAAATACTGACAGAATATTCATTTTTGGGTGAACGAACCCTTTAACCACTACTGTCCTCCTAAACCCACACCAGTGACAGTGAGTGTGACCAGGGGGGAAAGTGTGAAGTGACTTGTGTGATGGACAAACACTGAGAAATAGAAAAAACACACACACACACACACACACACTGGAAATAATGAGCTTTATCCTCCATCACTAGATCCTGTCTGTCTGTTTCTCTCAGTACGAGACGCTGTAAATATTTGACATACAGACGAGAGTCACAGCTCAGCCCACACACACACACACACACACACACACACACACACACACACACACACCACTGTTTCTCACACACTCTCTCATACACACACACACACACACACACACACACACACACACACACACACACACTCTCTCTCTCTCTCTCTCTCTCTCTCACACACACACACACACTCTCTCTCTCTCTCTCTCTCTCTCTCTCTCTCACACACACACACACACTCTCTCTCTCTCTTTCTCTCACACACACTCTCTCTCTGGTGTTAATCTGGTTTGTTTACTCTCTGTCTGACTTCAGATGCGACAAAAACACGCTCACACACCTGTGATGTCATCTGTCTGTGTGATCATGGTGCGATTGAGTCGGGGGAAAGAGCAGACGGACAGACAGACAGACAGACAGACAGACGGGCGGGGGCGTTAGGGTTTATAAGGGCGTGCGAATCATGAAAACAAGCAGAGATTGAAGCAGAAGACCCACACACACATTCAGCTCTTCAGGTGCGTCTGTCTGTTAGCTCCTTAGGAAATCAAAAGATGTTTGTTATATTTGCTCTGTATCATAGCGGTGTGTGTAACTGTAGTGAGTGTGTTTCTGTTGAAGTGCATCATTGTGTGTGTTTCAGTCGCTCCTGCTGCAGTCATGTGTGTCTCTCTTCACTGTGTGTTACTGTGTGTTTCACTGGCACTCACTGCTGCTTACGGTCAGTATGAAGCTGTCAACAAACGGCTAACACACACACACACACACACACACACACACACACACACTAAGGGAAGTGTCTCTCTCCCTGTAGATTCCCAGGAGAGCCGCGAGTCGTTTGAGGGTGAGTAAACTCGGTTTGCTTTGGGTTCATGTGTCAGTCGACCGCAGCACATCTGTGTTTATGAACTCATCAGTGACTCCAGATCAATGCCGAGAGACGTTGTTGATGTCCCTCCAATAATATTGTGTTTTATATCACGGCTTCTGTTTAATTTCAGTGTTTGTGAATCCGTATCAAGCAAATACTTTCATGAGAAATCCACGAAATGGAATATACAACCCATACGTCTACAGGAGGTACAGTAAACACACACACACACACACACACAACACACACACTTACGCACAAACGCATACACACACACTCACTCACACACACACACACATTTCACAGACTTATATATACATCTCGTTATAAATACTCTAACCAAACTCTCACAGAACACTGACTGCATTGTAACATTTTAAACAGAAATATTATGAAACCATCATGTACTTTTTTCATATCTTGTTTTTGCAAAATAGATCAAATTAGATTGGACTCAAGTGCAGGTTTTGTCAATTTTAGGAAAAAATTTGTCCCCAAACTATAGCTTAATATGTACAAAAACTCATGCAAAACTACATTAATGCTCATGAATCTCATGAAATGTTAAATATAAATGTTTTTGAGTTTTTAGAAATTTAATCTTGGACTAAGAAACAGAATAAAACTGGAGCTGAATTGATTGTGAAAAGCATACTGAAAACATTTTGGCTACGACTATAACCCTTGGAAGGGAACTCTACGCGGTGTTCAAGTACTGAAGTGTGATTGGCACATGAGTGTTGGCATCCCTATATTCCAAACAGTTACAAAGGACGGCCTTTTAAATTTGAAATGATGACTCTCACCCCCTGCACAATGACTTTCAGTTATTGCCATCTGTGAGGAGGAATAAAGTCCCAAGGTGGAGAACGAAAAGATATAAGAGCAGCTTTGTACCAAATGCGATTAATAGGATTAACAAATTGTAGAGGTGGTATATCAGGAAATGTTGTTCTAGGGGTTTTATGATTTACAAAGACCATGTGTAATGTTTTGAGAGCACTTTACTAAGTCTCAGTATCTATGTTCTTGTCATTATGTGTTGTGGAGTGTTCTGTGTTGTGTGTTTTTGTACTGGATGGGTTAGAATGTCACTGCACTGTAAAACAAATTTACCTACAGGTACAATAAAAAGTAACCTAAAGAAGCTATGGGAACGCTCCTGTGTGATTGTGTCTGAAGGACGTGTTCAAGCGAATTCACTGCCAATGGTGCACCGTCAGCCCAAGACACATGACAACGTACAGCGGAAGCGATAAAGGACACCCAAAACACAACAGAGTTAGGCGAAGTGATGTCTCGTAGCCTTCTCAGGGAACCTAGATTACTGTTGTAACTGAGACATTCCCTTTCTAGTGTGAGACCTAGTGTGCGTCCTAGTGCGAGTCCTAGTGAGAGTCCTAGTGCGAGTCCTAGTGCGAGAGTCCTAGTGCGACAGTCCTAGTGTGAGTGTCCTAGTGTGAGTCCTAGTGAGAGTCCTAGTGCGAGCATCCTAGTGCGAGAGTCCTAATGCGACAGTCCTAGTGTGAGTGTCCTAGTGTGAGTCCAAGTGTGAGTCCTAGTGCGAGAGTCCTAGTGTGAGTCCTAGTGCGAGAGTCCTAATGCAACAGTCCTAGTGTGAGTCCAAGTGTGTGTCCTAGTGCGAGAGTCCTAGTGTGAGTCCTAGTGCGAGAGTCCTAATGCGACAGTCCTAGTGTGAGTGTCCTAGTGTGAGTCCAAGTGTGAGTCCTAGTGCGAGAGTCCTAATGCAACAGTCCTAGTGTGAGTCCAAGTGTGTGTCCTAGTGCGAGTCCTAGTGTGAGTCCTAGTGCGAGAGTCCTAGTGTGAGTCCTAGTGCGAGAGTCCTAGTGCGAGAGTCCTAGTGTGAGAGTCCTAGTGCGAGAGTCCTAGTGTGAGAGTCCTAGTGCGAGAGTCCTAATGCGACAGTCCTAGTGTGAGTGTCCTAGTGTGAGTCCAAGTGTGAGTCCTAGTGCGAGAGTCCTAGTGTGAGTCCTAGTGCGAGAGTCCTAATGCAACAGTCCTAGTGTGAGTCCAAGTGTGTGTCCTAGTGCGAGAGTCCTAGTGTGAGTCCTAGTGCGAGAGTCCTAATGCGACAGTCCTAGTGTGAGTGTCCTAGTGTGAGTCCAAGTGTGAGTCCTAGTGCGAGAGTCCTAATGCAACAGTCCTAGTGTGAGTCCAAGTGTGTGTCCTAGTGCGAGTCCTAGTGTGAGTCCTAGTGCGAGAGTCCTAGTGTGAGTCCTAGTGCGAGAGTCCTAGTGTGAGTCCTAGTGTGAGTCCTAGTGTGAGTCCTAGTGTGAGAGTCCTAATGCAACAGTCCTAGTGTGAGTCCTAGTGCGAGTCCTAGTGTGAGTCCTAGTGTGAGTCCTAGTGCGAGAGTCCTAGTGTGAGTCCTAGTGCGAGAGTCCTAGTGTGAGTCCTAGTGTGAGTCCTAGTGTGAGTCCTAGTGTGAGTCCTAGTGCGAGAGTCCTAATGCAACAGTCCTAGTGTGAGTCCAAGTGTGTGTCCTAGTGCGAGTCCTAGTGTGAGTCCTAGTGCGAGAGTCCTAGTGTGAGTCCTAGTGCGAGAGTCCTAGTGTGAGTCCTAGTGTGAGTCCTAGTGTGAGTCCTAGTGTGAGTCCTAGTGTGAGTCCTAGTGTGAGTCCTAGTGTGAGTCCTAGTGCGAGAGTCCTAGTGTGAGTCCTAGTGTGAGTCCTAGTGTGAGTCCTAGTGTGAGTCCTAGTGCGTGAGTCCTAGTACGAGAGTCCTAGTGTGAGAGTCCTAGTGTGAGAGTCCTAGTGTGAGAGTCCTAGTGTGAGTCCTAGTGCGAGTCCTAGTGTGAGAGTCCTAGTGTGAGAGTCCTAGTGTGAGTCCTAGTGCGAGTCCTAGTGTGAGAGTCCTAGTGTGAGTCCTAGTGTGAGAGTCCTAGTGCGACAGTCCTATTTTGAGTCCTAATGTGTGTCCTAGTGTAAGTCCTTGTGTGAGAGTCCTAGTGCGAGTCCAAGTGTGAGAGTCCTAGTGTGAGAGTCCTAGTGCGAGAGTCCCAGTGTGCGAGTCCTAGTGCGACAGTCCTATTTTGAGTCCTAATGTGTGTCCTAGTGTGAGTCCTAGTGTGACAGTCCTAGTGTGAGTCCTAGTGCGAGAGTCCTAGTGTGAGTCCTAGTGCGAGAGTCCTATTTTGAGTCCTAATGTGTGTCCTAGTGTGAGTCCTAGTGTGACAGTCCTAGTGTGAGTCCTAGTGTGACAGTCCTAGTGTGACAGTCCTAGTGTGAGTCCTAGTGTGAGTCCTAGTGTGAGAGTCCTAGTGTGAGTCCTAGTGTGAGAGTCCTAGTGTGAGTCCTAGTGTGAGAGTCCTAGTGTGAGTCCTAGTGCGAGAGTCCTAGTGTGAGTCCTAGTGCGAGAGTCCTAGTGTGAGTCCTAGTGTGAGAGTCCTAGTGTGAGTCCTAGTGCGAGAGTCCTAGTGTGAGTCCTAGTGTGAGAGTCCTAGTGTGAGAGTCCTAGTGTGAGTCCTAGTGTGAGTCCTAGTGTGAGTCCTAGAGTGAGAGTCCTAGTGTGAGTCCTAGTGCGAGAGTCCTAGTGTGAGTCCTAGAGTGAGAGTCCTAGTGTGAGAGTCCTAGTGCGAGAGTCCTAGAGTGAGAGTCCTAGTGTGAGTCCTAGTGTGAGAGTCCTAGTGTGAGTCCTAGTGCGAGAGTCCTAGTGCGAGAGTCCTAGTGTGAGAGTCCTAGTGTGAGAGTCCTAGTGTGAGAGTCCCAGTGTGCGAGTCCTAGTACGACAGTCCTATTTTGAGTCCTAATGTGTGTCCTAGTGTAAGTCCTTGTGTGAGAGTCCTAGTGTGAGTCCTAGAGTGAGAGTCCTAGAGTGAGAGTCCTAGTGCGAGAGTCCTAGAGTGAGAGTCCTAGTGTGAGTCCTAGTGTGAGAGTCCTAGTGTGAGTCCTAGTGCGAGAGTCCTAGTGTGAGAGTCCTAGTGTGAGAGTCCTAGTGTGAGAGTCCTAGTGTGAGAGTCCTAGTGTGAGAGTCCCAGTGTGCGAGTCCTAGTACGACAGTTCTATTTTGAGTCCTAATGTGTGTCCTAGTGTAAGTCCTAGTGTGAGAGTCCTAGTGTGAGTCCAAGTGTGTGTCCTAGTGCGAGAGTCCTAGTGTGAGTCCTAGTGCGAGAGTCCTAATGCGACAGTCCTAGTGTGAGTGTCCTAGTGTGAGTCCAAGTGTGAGTCCTAGTGCGAGAGTCCTAATGCAACAGTCCTAGTGTGAGTCCAAGTGTGTGTCCTAGTGCGAGTCCTAGTGTGAGTCCTAGTGCGAGAGTCCTAGTGTGAGTCCTAGTGCGAGAGTCCTAGTGCGAGAGTCCTAGTGTGAGAGTCCTAGTGCGAGAGTCCTAGTGTGAGAGTCCTAGTGCGAGAGTCCTAATGCGACAGTCCTAGTGTGAGTGTCCTAGTGTGAGTCCAAGTGTGAGTCCTAGTGCGAGAGTCCTAGTGTGAGTCCTAGTGCGAGAGTCCTAATGCAACAGTCCTAGTGTGAGTCCAAGTGTGTGTCCTAGTGCGAGAGTCCTAGTGTGAGTCCTAGTGCGAGAGTCCTAATGCGACAGTCCTAGTGTGAGTGTCCTAGTGTGAGTCCAAGTGTGAGTCCTAGTGCGAGAGTCCTAATGCAACAGTCCTAGTGTGAGTCCAAGTGTGTGTCCTAGTGCGAGTCCTAGTGTGAGTCCTAGTGCGAGAGTCCTAGTGTGAGTCCTAGTGCGAGAGTCCTAGTGTGAGTCCTAGTGTGAGTCCTAGTGTGAGTCCTAGTGTGAGAGTCCTAATGCAACAGTCCTAGTGTGAGTCCTAGTGCGAGTCCTAGTGTGAGTCCTAGTGTGAGTCCTAGTGCGAGAGTCCTAGTGTGAGTCCTAGTGCGAGAGTCCTAGTGTGAGTCCTAGTGTGAGTCCTAGTGTGAGTCCTAGTGTGAGTCCTAGTGCGAGAGTCCTAATGCAACAGTCCTAGTGTGAGTCCAAGTGTGTGTCCTAGTGCGAGTCCTAGTGTGAGTCCTAGTGCGAGAGTCCTAGTGTGAGTCCTAGTGCGAGAGTCCTAGTGTGAGTCCTAGTGTGAGTCCTAGTGTGAGTCCTAGTGTGAGTCCTAGTGTGAGTCCTAGTGTGAGTCCTAGTGTGAGTCCTAGTGCGAGAGTCCTAGTGTGAGTCCTAGTGTGAGTCCTAGTGTGAGTCCTAGTGTGAGTCCTAGTGCGTGAGTCCTAGTACGAGAGTCCTAGTGTGA